CACTGCCACGGAAACAACGAGTGAGCAAGGAACAGGCAGCTCCACGATGGCTTCCACATCTGAATCAGAAGCAACAACGAGTGATTCGACGCTAACTGGCTCTGCAGCCGAGACTAGCACTGCCACGGAAACAACGAGTGAGCAAGGAACAGGCAGCTCCACGATGGCTTCCACATCTGAATCAGAAGCAACAACAAGTGGTTCGACGCTAACTAGCTCTGCAGCCGAGACTAGCACTGCCACGGAAACAACGAGTGAGCAAGGAACAGGCAGCTCCACGATGGCTTCCACATCTGAATCAGAAGCAACAACGAGTGGTTCGACGCTAACTGGCTCTGCAGCCGAGACTAGCACTGCCACGGAAACAACGAGTGAGCAAGGAACAGGCAGCTCCACGATGGCTTCCACATCTGAATCAGAAGCAACAACGAGTGGTTCGACGCTAACTAGCTCTGCAGCCGAGACCAGCACTGCCACGAAAACAACGAGTGAGCAAGGAACAGGCAGCTCCACTATGGCTTCCACATCTGAATCAGAAGCAACAACGAGTGGTTCGACGCTAACTGGCTCTGCAGCCGAGACTAGCACTGCCACGGAAACAACGAGTGAGCAAGGAACAGGCAGCTCCACGATGGCTTCCACATCTGAATCAGAAGCAACAACGAGTGGTTTGACGCTAACTAGCTCTGTAGCCGAGACTAGCACTGCCACGGAAACAACGAGTGAGCAAGGAACAGGCAGCTCCACGATGGCTTCCACATCTGAATCAGAAGCAACAACGAGTGGTTCGACGCTAACTAGCTCTGCAGCCGAGACTAGCACTGCCACGGAAACAACGAGTGAGCAAGGAACAGGCAGCTCCACGATGGCCTCCACATCTGAATCAGAAGCAACAACGAGTGGTTCGACGCTAACTAGCTCTGCAGCCGAGACTAGCACTGCCACGGAAACAACGAGTGAGCAAGGAACAGGCAGCTCCACGATGGCTTACACATCTGAATCAGAAGCAACAACGAGTGGTTCGACGCTAACTAGCTCTGCAGCCGAGACTAGCACTGCCACGGAAACAACGAGTGAGCAAGGAACAGGCAGCTCCACGATGGCTTCCACATCTGAATCAGAAGCAACAACGAGTGGTTCGACGCTAACTAGCTCTGCAGCCGAGACTAGCACTGCCACGGAAACAACGAGTGAGCAAGGAACAGGCAGCTCCACGATGGCCTCCACATCTGAATCAGAAGCAACAACGAGTGGTTCGACGCTAACTAGCTCTGCAGCCGAGACTAGCACTGCCACGGAAACAACGAGTGAGCAAGGAACAGGCAGCTCCACGATGGCCTCCACATCTGAATCAGAAGCAACAACGAGTGGTTCGACGCTAACTAGCTCTGCAGCCGAGACTAGCACTGCCACGGAAACAACGAGTGAGCAAGGAACAGGCAGCTCCACGATGGCTTCCACATCTGAATCAGAAGCAACAACAAGTGGTTCGACGCTAACTAGCTCTGCAGCCGAGACTAGCACTGCCACGGAAACAACGAGTGAGCGAGGAGCAGGCAGCTCCACGATGGCTTACACATCTGAATCAGAAGCAACAACGAGTGGTTCGACGCTAACTAGCTCTGTAGCCGAGACTAGCACTGCCACGGAAACAACGAGTGAGCAAGGAACAGGCAGCTCCACGATGGCTTCCACATCTGAATCAGAAGCAACAACGAGTGGTTCGACGCTAACTAGCTCTGCAGCCGAGACTAGCACTGCCACGGAAACAACGAGTGAGCGAGGAGCAGGCAGCTCCACGATGGCTTACACATCTGAATCAGAAGCAACAACGAGTGGTTCGACGCTAACTAGCTCTGTAGCCGAGACTAGCACTGCCACGGAAACAACGAGTGAGCAAGGAACAGGCAGCTCCACGATGGCTTCCACATCTGAATCAGAAGCAACAACGAGTGGTTCGACGCTAACTAGCTCTGCAGCCGAGACTAGCACTGCCACGGAAACAACGAGTGAGCAAGGAACAGGCAGCTCCACGATGGCTTCCACATCTGAATCAGAAGCAACAACGAGTGGTTCGACGCTAACTGGCTCTGCAGCCGAGACTAGCACTGCCACGGAAACAACGAGTGAGCAAGGAACAGGCAGCTCCACGATGGCTTCCACATCTGAATCAGAAGCAACAACGAGTGGTTCGACGCTAACTAGCTCTGCAGCCGAGACCAGCACTGCCACGGAAACAACGAGTGAGCAAGGAACAGGCAGCTCCACTATGGCTTCCACATCTGAATCAGAAGCAACAACGAGTGGTTCGACGCTAACTGGCTCTGCAGCCGAGACTAGCACTGCCACGGAAACAACGAGTGAGCAAGGAACAGGCAGCTCCACGATGGCTTCCACATCTGAATCAGAAGCAACAACGAGTGGTTTGACGCTAACTAGCTCTGTAGCCGAGACTAGCACTGCCACGGAAACAACGAGTGAGCAAGGAACAGGCAGCTCCACGATGGCTTCCACATCTGAATCAGAAGCAACAACGAGTGGTTCGACGCTAACTAGCTCTGCAGCCGAGACTAGCACTGCCACGGAAACAACGAGTGAGCAAGGAACAGGCAGCTCCACGATGGCCTCCACATCTGAATCAGAAGCAACAACGAGTGGTTCGACGCTAACTAGCTCTGCAGCCGAGACTAGCACTGCCACGGAAACAACGAGTGAGCAAGGAACAGGCAGCTCCACGATGGCTTCCACATCTGAATCAGAAGCAACAACGAGTGGTTCGACGCTAACTAGCTCTGCAGCCGAGACTAGCACTGCCACGGAAACAACGAGTGAGCGAGGAGCAGGCAGCTCCACGATGGCTTACACATCTGAATCAGAAGCAACAACGAGTGGTTCGACGCTAACTAGCTCTGTAGCCGAGACTAGCACTGCCACGGAAACAACGAGTGAGCAAGGAACAGGCAGCTCCACGATGGCTTCCACATCTGAATCAGAAGCAACAACGAGTGGTTCGACGCTAACTGGCTCTGCAGCCGAGACTAGCACTGCCACGGAAACAACGAGTGAGCAAGGAACAGGCAGCTCCACGATGGCTTACACATCTGAATCAGAAGCAACAACGAGTGGTTCGACGCTAACTAGCTCTGCAGCCGAGACTAGCACTGCCACGGAAACAACGAGTGAGCAAGGAACAGGCAGCTCCACGATGGCTTACACATCTGAATCAGAAGCAACAACGAGTGGTTCGACGCTAACTAGCTCTGCAGCCGAGACTAGCACTGCCACGGAAACAACGAGTGAGCAAGGAACAGGCAGCTCCACGATGGCTTCCACATCTGAATCAGAAGCAACAACAAGTGGTTCGACGCTAACTAGCTCTGCAGCCGAGACTAGCACTGCCACGGAAACAACGAGTGAGCAAGGAGCAGGCAGCTCCACGATGGCTTACACATCTGAATCAGAAGCAACAACGAGTGGTTCGACGCTAACTAGCTCTGTAGCCGAGACTAGCACTGCCACGGAAACAACGAGTGAGCAAGGAACAGGCAGCTCCACGATGGCTTACACATCTGAATCAGAAGCAACAACAGGTGGTTCGACGCTAACTAGCTCTGCAGCCGAGACTAGCACTGCCACGGAAACAACGAGTGAGCAAGGAGCAGGCAGCTCCACGATGGCTTACACATCTGAATCAGAAGCAACAACGAGTGGTTCGACGCTAACTAGCTCTGCAGCCGAGACTAGCACTGCCACGGAAACAACGAGTGAGCAAGGAACAGGCAGCTCCACGATGGCTTCCACATCTGAATCAGAAGCAACAACAAGTGGTTCGACGCTAACTAGCTCTGCAGCCGAGACTAGCACTGCCACGGAAACAACGAGTGAGCAAGGAGCAGGCAGCTCCACGATGGCTTACACATCTGAATCAGAAGCAACAACGAGTGGTTCGACGCTAACTAGCTCTGTAGCCGAGACTAGCACTGCCACGGAAACAACGAGTGAGCAAGGAACAGGCAGCTCCACGATGGCTTACACATCTGAATCAGAAGCAACAACGAGTGGTTCGACGCTAACTAGCTCTGCAGCCGAGACTAGCACTGCCACGGAAACAACGAGTGAGCAAGGAACAGGCAGCTCCACGATGGCTTACACATCTGAATCAGAAGCAACAACGAGTGGTTCGACGCTAACTAGCTCTGCAGCCGAGACTAGCACTGCCACGGAAACAACGAGTGAGCAAGGAACAGGCAGCTCCACGATGGCTTCCACATCTGAATCAGAAGCAACAACAAGTGGTTCGACGCTAACTAGCTCTGCAGCCGAGACTAGCACTGCCACGGAAACAACGAGTGAGCAAGGAGCAGGCAGCTCCACGATGGCTTACACATCTGAATCAGAAGCAACAACGAGTGGTTCGACGCTAACTAGCTCTGTAGCCGAGACTAGCACTGCCACGGAAACAACGAGTGAGCAAGGAACAGGCAGCTCCACGATGGCTTACACATCTGAATCAGAAGCAACAACAAGTGGTTCGACGCTAACTAGCTCTGCAGCCGAGACTAGCACTGCCACGGAAACAACGAGTGAGCAAGGAGCAGGCAGCTCCACGATGGCTTACACATCTGAATCAGAAGCAACAACGAGTGGTTCGACGCTAACTAGCTCTGCAGCCGAGACTAGCACTGCCACGGAAACAACGAGTGAGCAAGGAACAGGCAGCTCCACGATGGCCTCCACATCTGAATCAGAAGCAACAACGAGTGGTTCGACGCTAACTAGCTCTGCAGCCGAGACTAGCACTGCCACGGAAACAACGAGTGAGCAAGGAACAGGCAGCTCCACGATGGCTTCCACATCTGAATCAGAAGCAACAACAAGTGGTTCGACGCTAACTAGCTCTGCAGCCGAGACTAGCACTGCCACGGAAACAACGAGTGAGCGAGGAGCAGGCAGCTCCACGATGGCTTACACATCTGAATCAGAAGCAACAACGAGTGGTTCGACGCTAACTAGCTCTGTAGCCGAGACTAGCACTGCCACGGAAACAACGAGTGAGCAAGGAACAGGCAGCTCCACGATGGCTTCCACATCTGAATCAGAAGCAACAACGAGTGGTTCGACGCTAACTAGCTCTGCAGCCGAGACTAGCACTGCCACGGAAACAACGAGTGAGCAAGGAACAGGCAGCTCCACGATGGCTTCCACATCTGAATCAGAAGCAACAACGAGTGGTTCGACGCTAACTAGCTCTGCAGCCGAGACTAGCACTGCCACGGAAACAACGAGTGAGCAAGGAACAGGCAGCTCCACGATGGCTTCCACATCTGAATCAGAAGCAACAACGAGTGGTTCGACGCTAACTAGCTCTGCAGCCGAGACCAGCACTGCCACGGAAACAACGAGTGAGCAAGGAACAGGCAGCTCAACGATAGTAACAGACGGAAGTGGTGTAGCTTTCAAAGCGAGCTACGATTTCACTACCATAGCGGCAACAATGCTAAAAAGGATTGTCATGGATAGGATTTCACCACCAGGTATGTTTACTTCTTTCCCCAGCCAGTTTATGAATGGGTATCTGAGTGCAATCTCTGTTCTGCAACGTCAGTCCATTGCGGTTCTTTTCGACTAAAAAGGGAGGTCAGGAGGGAAATTCAAACATGCTGCACACCAATAGATGCAGCATAAAACGCTAAATTCGAATCTTTTTTCCTTATTTGCTTAGCACATTTGTGACCCAAGTCATGAGCCATTAAATGCCATTACTTTGATAAGAGATCGTGCATGCAAAGCTCAAATTTGGCATTACTAGCCATGTTCGTCTTGCCAGGCCAAATCATGCTCTAGCTTACTTTGTATTTTTAAGGCCTAAAGATGAGCTTAAGGTGCAAAAAATGTGCTGAATTTCGTAGTTTTGATGTAGGATTATTTTGCAATAGAACTGCTCATAACTTCGTCCACAAAGGCGATAAGCAGATACGGAATTCAGATCCGAAGTCAGCGTTGAATGCATTGAATTGTAGGCAGCTTGCTTGGACTGGCCATTTGACGTTTGACCACTCCCTTATGGAAGGCTGTAATGACCCGTCATCTCCTAGATATTAGTTGGCCGCAAAAATAAAGTATATTTTGCGATAATTCGATTTGACAAGGTACAACCAGGGTCGGCAAGAGTTGTGGCCGCCGCATACGACCTCCCCCTCCGTCATCATCGTTTATCTACCGTAGGCACGATATAAAGCCTACGAAACTTATCAGTAACATAATCGCAACTTTCATGTCAAATAACACCTTGGGTCAAATTTTAGCGAATTCTGAGGGTTCCCAATATAGGCCACTAAGGTGAAGCGGTCATTTTCAAACGTGCATAGTGTATAAAGTGAATTGGCCACCTTTTTAAACTTAAGCACTATTCTCTATCTGTCCAAACCATGAATCCTGCTTCAAATAACTACCGAACTATGGAATTAGGAGTTAACCAAAGCTTGTTTGCCCCATTTTTAGTTTACCGTCGTTGTGCTGCAAACAGGATCAAGCGTGTTGATGCGATCCGGGACTTACGACTTATTAGTCGTAAGTCTTATGGACTTATTAGCTTACTTCCTACCTCTTTCACAGTTTTTCCCGCGAAAAAAACCGCTTGAGCGCCGTCCAGAACGACGTCAAAAACGTGCATGAGCACTGTAGTTTGAAAATTCGTAACTAAGCCAGGCAAAGACTGAGAGGCTGCAAAGCACAGGTTCTGTAGTATAGTACCCAGACTATCCACAGAAAAAGTTTCAGCTCTTGAGGAGCAGTAAGCTCGAAAAAATTTAGATGCAACTCTCCCAAATTTAGATGCGATCTTAAAAAAGCAAAACTGAGATTTTTGAGTAAAATTTTGTAACCTACCAGAGAAGTTATAAAACAGCCTGCAATTTTTATGAGAGAAAGTAGGAGGATGGCTTCATATTACAGCAGAATTGCAGCCAACAAGCTTCAATAGCTCCGAAGAAATTTAGATGCGACCCAGATACGACCCCTCTTTTCTAATTTTTGCTACCATACATAAAATCCTAAGAAAATCCACAGTTGACAGAATAACACCAAATTTTGCACTGATATAGCAGAGCATCTCCAAAGTACAGATAAATCATATAGGCCCGTGAAAAACATTACAAAAAGATTCAGAAGTTCATGATGGTCACAGCTGGTAAAAATATTCGCTTTTGTCGAGTGTGTAAGACTTCAGGAAGGCTTCAGAGGCAAGATTTCTAGGGCAATCGGTACATTTAGCATTTTTATGAAATCGTACATCCTTCAAAAGAGTTTTGAGCTCTTGTAAATGTTTTTTTTTTGAGAATTTCTACAGATTTTTTGTCTTTTTTATTCTGATTTCCACTTTTTCATAGATTTATTGTAAAGAACAAAACTAACTATCTGCTTTTTGATTCCCTTTTAGGCTTAGAGTATTTTAGCCAAAGTATCTCCTCTTACGACTTCCCCCTCCCCACCTTAGGTACCCTCTTTACGATCCCCCGTTGCGACAGTCGCATCACAAGCTTGACCCTGGCTGCAACTATTGCTCAAGCGAAAGAAGACGAGTTCAGCTCTAATCACTTGCACAAAAGCAACCAAATCTTGGCTATCGATGTGTATATGTTTTGCGCTAAAATTTTTCTGGAGGTAATAGGGTGTGGCACAACCTCAGAAAAGCTGTGACTGCCACACCTTTTCTACAGGTTATGCCACACTCCTTGCCACTGTTAAACCATCTTCTTACAGCAAAAATTTCATTTGCGATCGTTTCTCTTAGGGGGGGGGGGGGGGGAGGAATTATATTCGTTTCTTATCTCTGCAAATGAAAGGGTGCGGAAATATTGGATCACGACGTGCCAAGTCTGCGCTACTACGGGAACTGCGAGAAAAGGCGTTGAGAGTAAATTCATTTAATAGCCTAAACCTTATAACTTTCGCGAAAGTGATTTGAGCCTGATTGCTTCTCTAGTCTGAGATATTCAAAGCGAAAAATGGGACAAACGAGATTTTGGCTTGTTCTCAGTTCCACAGTTTGAAGGTTACTTAAAGTGGCCTAATGTGAGCAAGAAAGCAGCACTTCTTTGTAACAAGTGCAAAAAAGTAAGCTCACATTCGAAACAAATTCAACATGCTCGAAAATGACCATCCCACTTGGATGTCCCAGCAAGAAACCTCAGAATTCGCTAAAGTTGGCCCACACCTTGTCTATTTGGCATGTAGTTACGAAAATGGTGCCTTTATGCTTTTGTTTCTCTTTTAATATGCTTACTGTTCGTATGCATTGATGGGTCAAAACATCAGTGTGCTAGTGCTTTGCATGATACCTATCTGATATTTAACGGAGAGGATCATGTTATCGCTATCATCAGCATCACTTTGATAACAACTCTCCCCCCCCCCATCCCTGACCGTTCAATACGACCCCCAGGTGTGGCACGCCAACTACACGCTTGACCCTGGCTACAACTTTGCCAGATCTCTTAGATAAGACTCTCAAAAGAGATAAATTTTTGCAAATAATAGTACATTCGCTCGTACCAATATGACAGACGAGGAGAAATTAATGCGCTAAACAAGGAAACTTTCCCAAAGTTCGCTTTCTTTTGGTATGGTAGTCAAAAATCTTTTGTTTGAGTCAATAGTACATGTGCAAATTGAAAGAGGTCTAACGACGAATTTTCGCTGAGAGAAGAAGAAAATTTTGAAGTTGTCAACTTTTTTGTGTTTGATTACGGTGGGCCCGAAGACACAGTGTTTTCATTTTTTTTACTAAATAGCTCTTTTCTGTGGAAGTGTGCTTGATTTGTACTACTCACACGTTTACAGAACTGAACAAGTTTCAGCGATTGCCTTTTTTGTAAAGACCTTGGGTCTTAGAATGACTGCAGCGACTCACTTAGAACTGTCGTTTTATCAGCCTGATTAATTTTGAGAAACATGATGTGCAACGATTGAACGCAAGGCTCTGCAGAAGCTGGAACCAGAGAACTTCTGAAACAAAGTCCCCTTTGGAACTCCAAAATTTCTGCGAAGTCCCGGACGTTCTTGAAGCCCTCTCTGTCCTCTCTACTTGTTTCATTTTGCATCTGGGCTGTGGCCCAAACCAGTAATGCGTAATTCAATAAACAGATCAAAAAACCTTTCATCTACTCGTTTTCACTCTCCGCTTTACTCCCCCTCTCTCCGTAAGGTTCACTCCGCCATTTCCTAGAGTAGATATTTTAAAAACATTTCCTGCTTACATGAAGAATTTTACAGGAGGGTGTCGTGCGGAGGGCCACAATCCCAAATTTTGTGCCTCTGAAAAACCTTCGGTTGTAGAGCGACACGGCGGAAAACTAGAGGAGGGGGGGGGGGGAGGAGATGTATGAATCTATGCCATGTAAATCGCAGAATTAAACGAGGGGTTTTTACACAGCTTGCATCAGAGTATTGTCGCCTTTCCGCGTCCCCTGCGGCGATCGCGCATGATTGGGCTCTTCTCTTCGGATCGAGCAAAAACAATATCCCTTTACTTTCCGCTTAGAAACGATATCCAGCCTGACCCCGTTCCAGCTGTGCCGAACCCTGATAGGAACACTACCTATCACATATAGTGGCAATTTTTGCAAAGAGCGATTGCTTGCGTTTAATTCGGGCCAAGAATGTAGATGCAATAAGTTTCTGCACACAATTATTCGGAATTCCATCAAATTCTGACGGATGAGCCTCGAAACCTGATTTAATTAGAAAGTACGTGAAGAATCTATTTCGAGTGCTATGCGCAATCTGTTAAAAGTGATTATGATGAAAAAAAAGTTAGGAAAGGAAAGAGGGCTTACAAAAACGGCCATTATTTTTACAACAACCTAATAACAACCTATCTGCGAAACGCTCTTCTGTAAAAAGCTATGGAGCCACTACGAAAACAAAGATAAAAGGCAGACAAATATGAACACAAGTTTTTTGATTCTTGCATCTCTAAGGAAAAAAGTATGCGTTCATTTGAGACATACATTGCTGAGAGTTATTTAACATTCGTATAGGAACACTATTATATTTTGCAAATCTGGCATCCGTTTTTGCGGAACGCTGTTTCGCAAAAAGCTATGAAGGCACATACGAATCAAAGATCGACTGTTACGGAGTTGAATTTAGAAGTTTTTGTGGGATAGGCGAACACATTCATGCCAAACCTAACCGTTATAGTCCTTGCTGCAGTGTTCATTTACCATGATGTGCTATCATAACCAGATTTTGAGTTATCAGAAAACGTCTCGTAACTAAAGTCCTGTTTTGATCGGCAATCATTACCGATTCAGGCAGCATGTATCCCATCTTAAATGGCCATAACGACTAAAAATGAGTAATAAACATTCTTGTGCAATAAGGCATCGTAATGTAGTGGATCTATCACATGCCATGTAATTTGAGCATTTATTCGAATGTAAACGTTCAGAGTGCTGTTATTTGCAATTACCTTGAAGTCCTTTTTTCTTAATCCCATGCTTAATTCGTTACAGTGTAAATTGTGCATATGTTTCAGTGAAGGAAGGTATTCACTGTCTGATTGTTGGAGACATGAACAGCTTCAACGATTTTCCACGGAAGTATAGCAAGGTGTGTCAGTTAGGATTTTCTCATTCTTATGTCTGTTCGATTTGCTCTTAGAGGAGAACAAAGATATTATTTTTCGTGAGTGCACTCCAAATTCTGATTCCTTTACATAACAGATTTTTACTTTTACGCAGCTTTGTTTCGTACCGAAACCTACATTATTGCAGGAGAAAGACTTCATCAATGATGTCGGCGAGGAATTCTACAACAAAACGAACAACTCATCCCTTGGAGTTGTTACTTATGGAAGTTCTAAGCTACCGATTCTGCATGCCTTGAATTCCATGAAAAAGAATTTTGACACTTTTTCCAAGGCGGCGGCGTTGGAAATGAGAGCGAGACAAGCTGAGACGTCCTCTTCAGCTGAAGAGTAAGTAGCTCCAGATTTGTCGCAGTTGATTTTGAGCTCACTATACCCATACCAGATTATGCCAAACCAGAATCTTCGCGAGATATTCTATCCTTCTGCTTTTAAAATTTTGTGAACTAAAATAAAATGTTGTCAAGCATTGAATTTAGGGCAATAAATCGAATAAATGGATTGAAGAATCTACGAAATCGAGCCAACTGTCTAGTTTTCGTTTCAGCCACGTGAGTCCTTTTTCCAGCACAACAGTAATCGGTGTTAATGATTATTAGCGATTACGTAATTCAAGTAAAATGCCCTACTGCTGTTGGAAAGCTGTTGATTTGACATGTAGAAACCTTTTGAAAGCTAATATGAAGGCAACTATCAGATCTGGATGAAAAAGTGCACTATACTAGATAATTATTCGACTCGATTAGCATAATCAGGTGATGTTGAAATTTCTCAAAAGAAGTAAACAACATTTCTCAAAAATAATTTAAAAACCTTTTTGGAAAAAGTTAAAGCTGCAAATTGTGCTGCATATAAACAAATAACTCGATATAAAGCACCGAATTTTTCCGCGGAGTTCAAACACTTATTCCCGTTTCTTCTAGCTGAGACAAATTATTAGTGAAGTTGGTCACTAGATCAAAGACATTTGCTAATCTTCCAAAGGATGATGATTTTTCACAGACAACAACTGATTTTTCCATAACGTTTTAAAATTCTTAGGTTTATCAATCGGCGCTGTGCCATATAACCTAGTTTTTATACATAATATGCTAAGTTCGAATATGCTCATCAATACCACAACCAGCTAAAAAAATCACCTCATGATAGAGCTCTATTTTAGAAACGATACAACCCGATTACCACCGCTAGAACCGGATAAAGATTGGAAAAGAATAGTTGCAGTCGGATTTGACGGTAAGTAGTAACCTACCTTGACCAACTCTCAACGGCCTTTGTAGGTGCCGACTTGAGCAAAGTAGTCACTCCTCCTCGTGGTGTCGCAGTAACGGTTCCGTACTGGTATCAAAGCGAGAATGTCGAAAACGTCGTTCGAGAAGTTCTGAAAGGGTTCTAGGTAAATGTTGAACAGCAGAATAGATTATTGCCTTAACCTTTTTTGAATCTCTTTCCAGAGATTTGAACCATAGGCTCACGTTTGGAGGAGCAATTTCTCGAATTATCAAGATTGATAAGCACTGAGGTTATGTGATCCAAAGGCTTCTTATTGTAAATAGTTATGTATCTTTGCAAACGATACCTGGCACATGAAGCTCAAGTTTAATAATAATTCTCGGGTATGCAATTTTTTTTGATTGACCATGAGTAGAATGGGCTTATTTTGTACTTGTCATAAATTTGTACTAATAAATTTATTATGCTTTTTAGAACAGAACTATCCAATTCTGTTATGTACATCAGTAGTAGAAGAGAAGTTCTTATTTCTTTGCAGATGTTGAAAGTACAGTTTAGGCAGCGAGTGGATGCCAAGAGAAGCTCCGAATTGAGTCAACAACTACCTCACTACCTCTTCTCCTTTCAAAGGCATTTTTTATTTGCTAAAACCTAAGGGCTTAGAGCGCGTGACGTCCAAAGCAGAGCAACTTTGGCGTTTTGAAAGTTTCAAGGCAATCTCTCAAGCTGGTCTTCATACAATTGCGCAGCGTTTGACTTATGTTATACTCGACTTCACTAGGTCCCTATCAACATGGTGGTAGAGCTCGACATTCCGTCTCACTTATACACGTTCCCTACCCGTGTCCCACTTCCATGTCCCATGACGCTTTACCCCGTGCAGCATGCTCGCTTATCCCACCCCCCTCTACCAACTCTCAGCCGCGGAGATTAAAGGCAGTGTCCGGGCAAAAAGTCGATTTTGAGATTTTGTGCTTACCCGGGCCTATTCCCTATGCTGAATCCGAATATCCACATTGGAAAGCGCGAAAACGGCGAAAAAGGGCTCTGACGCAGGAGTGAAATCAAAAGTGGGCGGGGTCTTCCCCAAGGTGAATTCACGGTACCAGCTTTCGGAGCGATCTTTTCAATTCCACTAACCGCCCTGACATCTCAACGGACCAAGTGCGAATGCATTGAAGTCGGAAGCAAAAAGATCGTTCCGGGAGTTGGGACCGTGAATTCACCCTGGGGAAGACCCCGCCCACTTTTGATTTCCCTCTTGCGTTAGAGCCCTTTTTCGCCGTTTTCGCGCTTTCCAGTGTGGATTTTCGGATTCAGCGTAGCGAATTGGCCCGGGTAAGCACAAAATCTCAAAATCGAGTTTTTGCCCGGACACTGCCTTTAAAGTATGCAAGGAATCGATAAAAATCGATAAAAGTGATGGGTATTACCAAAAACGGGCATTTTCGTTAACATGCCCCTTTTCCGTGCCAACTTCCAGCCCCATGGCTCAATTTCGAAAAAAAAACCAAAAAACCAAATCAATCGAAGTAACTGATTCCGTTTTCAAACGGTTATCTTTCTCGCACAGCATGCTCACTTACTTCCCTCTGCCAACCTCCAGCCCTGTAGTTCAAAATTTGCGAGAAAAATGTTACGAAAAGTAGCCTATAACCCCACCCCGTCCCAAAGTCCTCAAAGTGCGAAGTTGGTGCGAATTAGTTCATAAATAGATTTTTTTTATTCGAAACATATGTACAGAGAGACACATGTGCATGCAGACAGAAATTCGGGTTTATTAAGACTAGCAACCCTAAGATCATAACTCTCTGATGCAAAGAAGAACCAATTCATGGGCGGTATTTATCAATCCCTCGTTCGGGTAGATGTTCCCAAGCAGGTCGTAATCCAGTGAGACGCAAGCGTTCACACCCATGATGCGCGAGCGTGCGCGCCTGTCCGAGCAAGAGCCCGGTCAGGCAAAGCGGGTAACTCTGCAATGCCTGGACACCAATCCAACCTTGTTGTGCATAAACCGTGTGAAAGCGCAATTCTTTGATTAGGTGGCCAAAAACTATAGCAAATCGAACGACCTAATCACTATTAATCCAGTAAGATTTAATAATCGTTATGTTGCAAGAAATTTCCTTGTTTCATTTGACTTGGTTTGATCTTGAGATTTACGAGAGATTCAGAACCTGAGCTAAACGCAGACAAATCCCTTACGACAAAACAATCATTGAATCTTACTCGATGATTAGCGACTGCATTGTTCGATTTGCTAATGTTTTCGGCCACCCAATCAAAGAAACGCGCTTTTTCACACATTCTATATAACGAGACCGGGTAGATATCCCGACATTGCAGACCTACCCGATTCTGCCTGGATTCTGCCTGATGACTCTTGTACGGTCAGGCACCCACATTCGCGCATCATGAGCCTTGGGCGCCCGGGTTCGACTAGATTAAGACTTGTACGCGAACGCCTACCTGAGCGGGAGATTGATACAGATCGCCCCGAATTTGAATGTAGCAATGCCCGGAAGCACAATAGAGAACAAATGAGCCAGAGTCACCGCAGTGAGCAAAACTGCAAAAAATGACCAGATCTCAACATAGTCAATCTTTCGGAATCCTCCTAAATTTCTAACAGTTTCGTTGAGGCTTTGCTGTATAATGCCTATACAGAAAGGAGCATACGCATCTTCTGACATTGTAGTGTCTCTCTACACAACTATAGAGTTGTTGCAGAATTGCACCAATTCTATAGTTTTATCAGATAGAAAATATGGTATAAAACACATATGCATCACACTAAGAATCGGTAAGAGAAATAGAGAGATCACCAGGTTATGCTGCATAGTTATTTCAGTCTGAAGTGCAAAAAGCACTAACTGCTTGAAGACAGGTCCAGTATACTTGGGGAGATTCGAAGTTTTCCATGGAACGAGGGAATATCAATTAAATTCGAAAATAGAAGATTTTTCAACGAATATAGAGTAATTTCGAAAATAAAAAATTTCTAATAAACGAGTATCGAATAAATTCAAAGTTCAGAAATTCGAATGAAAGATTCCCAAATATAAGTCAAAAATCAAAAATGTTGAATGAATGAATGACTATATAGTTTTGGAGGTCCCGACACTCTCGTTCCCTCCTTCGCAACTTTGAACTTTGCAGGTGCGATTGAGCTCGCATCTTCTTATAGGTTACACTGCTGGCTCCTACTTCGGCATTGCTTTGTGTCATCTCTGTTTTGTATCTTCTCGACATTTGTTCATGTTAGCCTCTGTTATATCCTATTTATCTTTACTTGAAATGATTCACTCAATGATGAGCTTCGTAGGAACAACGCTTTTGTACGGTTGCTAACAGCGTCTCCCCCCTCTTTCCCGTTCTTCCCCTTGTTTTACGAGTTGATTGTGGTGGTTTAATTCTAAAATGTAGGTTCCATTTCGACAGTTCTGCCTGCGCTAATGATTTAGTGTTCAAAACGTGTTATGTAAATAGGTTCTCCGGTAACCAAATTGAATGGCTTTGAGAGATTTGAATTTTGCTATCAGTTCTTCCCCTTCCTGTACGAGTTTGTTAGCGGCTGCAATCAATTTCAAAATTTGACTATTTTCCAATTTGTTTTTAGTTGTCGAGAAAAGAGTCACAGAATAGCAATGAAAGAAACGGAAATTATACTTTATGTTAACAATATAATTTTGCTTTTTTGAAAGGAGGTGAGGGAAGGTTTGCTATTTTCACGGCTATAGAGAAGGGAATAGGGCAGTCCTTATTGAGTACATCGGTCTACAAGCGGCCCATATGGTGTACTTTTTTATGGACATCGTTGCGTAGGCAGTTCGTGGGACAATGTTCTCAAAACATCGTGTAAACGGCTCACAAGGCAGTCCTTTTTTTATAATTCAGTTCCGCTAACGGAGCACTTTTTCTTCAAGGTAGGTCTTGCAGGGTACCCGTAAGGTACTTTCTATTTTTATGGGCTCAAGACTGTCTATTTTAATTAGTCGAAAGCTTGTACTGTTGAGTGTCTATTCTTTTTCATCCAAATGAGTTGCCTTCACCAATTTGCCTCGCTGTAAGCGGCCTCGAGGAATGCGAGTTCTGAGCCATACTGCTCGAAGCAGATCACGGCTTCAAGGCTTATCTAATTGTTAGGCGTAAAACGCAGACTTGATAACTCAGCAGTTCGCCCTGCATTAAACTCGGACAATTCGAATACGAATATCTTTCGAATATGAATTGGAATCAAACATTCGAATGAAACATTCGAATGAAATTCGTTCGAAATTCCGTTTTTGATTTTTCGCATTTTTGAATTTTATTCGAAACCCGTTTTTTTATTATTCGAGTTTTCGAATGCAACGGAAAACTCCCAGTCTCAAATCACAAATGCGTATGTATTTGAATGTTATAATCGAGATCGAATTTCTAATCGATTCGGACCCAAGTGTCTTAAGTGATTAGTTACTTAGGAACGAGTAGCCCAGAATTCTGTAGAGATCAAGGATCATAGGTCGATAGTAAAGAAATCTTTAACATATATTAGGTTAGCACATGAGTAAAGCAACTTTTCATATAACTTTTGTCTTTTGAACATAGCATTCATTTCTTGGCAATATAAGGATCATAATGTATACTGCAAATGCAGATATCTTTGCCTAATTTTGCCACTTATGTAGGGGGTACGGTAGGTTTACAGGTAATGTGAAAAATCTTAGCTTGCGTTAGATTTTGCTATAACTTGCCCTGGAGTTATTCGACATGCTCATCACGAAAACGAGATCCGTTTCGCATAAAAACGCCTCCTCCGTAAGCTCTAAAAAAACTTTTTTTAGCAACAAATGAGTATGATCTCCGTGTTTACCGTATTGAATTTTCTTATTGTGCAAAGTTTTAGCGAATTCTGACGTTTCGCAGCGTAGTTGTTGACAGATGGCCCTCCAAATTTGATGCATTTGACTTTTTAACTTCACAGGGGCGCCCTATATTTGTCTTAAAATTTCATATTTTCTTACTGATTCTAATGTGTCAATTTCTAGCTACATACTGCCTATAATCTCTTTTTGATATGTTTGATTCAGGTTTTGTACGGCTTTACGTTTGCCAAAAAACCATGGTACCTCGATTTTTAACGGTTTTTGAAAAATGTTTGTATTTTTTCTATTGAGTTATCAAAAATCAAACGAGGTGCGCACACTTGCAGCTCGCGTCATATTCCACATTATTTCAAAGATTGAGAGTGGGGCTCAGCACGAGGTGGCTTCCCAAAACTGCAAATAACGAAGTCCCTTTGATTTCACTATGAAAGTACGACATTTGCCATGAGATATTAGAAAAGAAAACACAAGAAAGTGAACGGAACAATAAAACAAAAAAAACGCCAAAAAGCATCAAAAACGCTCCCGGAGCAACGTTGCCGCCGCCATTCAAAATCTTCAGGGGCTGTAACTAAGCGAGGAGTAGGGGGTTTAAGGCGATTTAGGAACCAATTTGAGGGTTTGGGATGTAGATGAGGTTTATGTAAAGAAAGTAATAAAATTATGTGAGGGGAAATTTTGTGACTTTTCATTCCCAAGCCACCTCAGGTGGCTTTCAGGTAGCTTGAAAGCCACCTAACTCCGGAAAAAGTTGAGCACTCCTCCATTTCACATATTTTTTCATAGTTATTCATACATAGGTCTAATACCTCTGTCCATCTACACATCAATTTTGGTGTCATTTCATTTTCACTGCGCTGTAACTAGCCCTCTGTTTGTTTGGGAGGGCATGCCGCCGGCACGCACGCGAACCGCAAAAACGATATCTCTTATTGTTAGCTTTTTCGCCCAGAAACAATATCCAGCCACCTGTGTCGTGATTGAGAGTGCTACTCCAAATGAGAAGAAAGTTATAGGAAAAGTTGCAAAACTTATGTGCCAACCTGATATTTAAATATAGCCCCCAACACTCAGCTGAAATAAAGGATTTCGATGACGGAAAAGTAGCAAAGGACATCTAATAATTGCTTTGAAAGTAACACGTTAAGGTGATACGAAATGAAGAATCAAGGTTTTTACCTTAAAGTATGAGCGCGCGCAGTTGATGACTTCGAGTGTGAAGCGCTAAACGCTTGTCGCAAGCTGCAGTGACAGTGATCCTTTTTTTTCGATTTTTTCTCTCGACGGTTTTATATTGAAACATACTTTGCAATGAAGCAAAACTTAGTGGTTAAAAAGCTTCCGAACGACAGTAATCAAATTCAATAATGCCAACTATTTGCGCATGTTAGTGCTGAAGGCACTTCGCGGCAGATTATAGCAGGTTGTATCGCATGATCAGAGCGCTTTACAAACCTTAATTTTAGCAGCGGTAGACTAGGTTCGTATCCCTTGCACATGTAAATTCAAAAAAAGTAGCAGTGAGTGCTAGCAGCTCTGCTCAACTATCGTGCCCCTTTTGTCATAATTTTATCAAACATTTTATGCATATCTTTGAATGAAAACCACGGATAAGAGTTGTGATAATTTGATCACTATCAATGAATTGGCCAACTGCAAGTACCAAGCTACCACACTCCGTTCCACTCCATATCAGTAACTATTATGCTAGTCTTGCACGGATTGCGTCTGAGAGCTGCTTGAAGGCATAGCAAGTCACATCTCCGACTGTTTGCTGGCAATACTGCTCTGTGTTCGTGATATAGGAAAAATCACCCCGAGCACAGATCACGTTGTATCTGAATAAAGAAAGCCACACAACATCAGTAGAAGTACCTTACAAATGCAAAACAAACCTTCCTCCGAGACGTTTCTCTGCTTCTGTCTGGATGCGTCTTTTCGACAAAGAGGTAATGCGATCAATGTTCTGGATTGCAAAATTCTCAAGTTTTCTTAACGGAAGGAAATCTTTTACCTCTATAATAATAGACCTGAGATCCTCGTTATTGCAATTTGCGTCAATCTTGACAACCTCATCATGAACATCGCGTTTCTTCCTTGTCCACAACTGCTTAACTCTTTAAAATTTACTTTGTAGTGTCATTGAAGAGAGTTCTTACTTCACGTCCGTGAGATACTACAGTGGAATTTACTGCATAAACTCCATGGGACAATACAGCAGCGTTCCTCTTCACTCGCTCTTTCTTCTGGCATTCACACGTTGGGCAACAATCTGATTTCTGGAAAAAAAATTTTGTTGTAGTTGAGGCATTCGCAAAAACTTTGTTTTGCAGCAGAGTTCAAATAATTTTTTCCAAACACATCTGTTATGCTGACGAGACTTACCTGCTCAGGGCAGTTCTGTACCGGTGGACATGTTGGATAAATTGGACAAGCAATTATCTCACATGGACAGGAGCATGCCGATTTCGAACTTCCAAATAAAAATGCGCTGGAGGTGTTGCATGCCACAAGCAGGATCAGAGGTAAAATCATCTAAATGCACACATATGGATTAACAACAAATAAGGAAGAAAATATACGATCAGCGGACTATTAATCGACCACAAATGTTAAGTAAGAATAGTGAAAGTTTGGAAAACAAATTTCATATTGCAAAGTACATTGTCTCTAGAGGGTCCTAGAACTTATGTAGAAGTACACTTTACTAGGCTTTGTCTACATTCTCAGTAGGTTTACCGACTTAGGAGGGTTTACTAATGCTTCTTTAAGATTTCATAGAAAAAAGTAGCCACTGTTTTTCTATGAATGGGAAATAACCCGTGTATAGGAGGTGAGCCCAGTGAGAGGAAAGAGCAAATGAAATCAGTTCTAACATCTCGTTGGTTTGTAAAAGACCTTTGCAGGAAAATCTGTAATTTGCTTTAGAGATGGATCATAGAGAGTACACTACTATAAATTTTGCATTGTCTATTGAACTTGAATTTTGAAATCACAATTTACCAGAAAGATGGTTTGAGCTATTTTGTTACCTCAGCATTCGTTACGCAAACGGATTCTCATACTTTTGCTCTTAAAGGCTTCTACTAAATTTCGAAGAAATTCTAAATAAGTGAAGCTCTACAAACCAACGAGTAGTACTTCACTATTTCTCAGAAAAAAAAATTCGTAAGAGATGTGATACGATTGTAAAATCGCTTGGAAACATTTCATAAGGCAGCCTTCAGACAGTCAATAGCGTTACTCTAGAATTGCGATATAAATTTGATTTCAAACAAATTATTTCTAGCTGCGATGTGGCTGCTGAATGAGGGACAAAACCGAAGTTGATAAAGATGTCGCAGGATTGCTTCACTCGAAATCTCCGGAAGCCTATAAATCTGCTCAAGATGACTTTTACAGATTCAATCTCATTTGTGTATTGCTTAACAATTGGGAAGGAATTTACTTGTGGATCTCAGCGAGCAAATTCGCCTTTATTTTCAGTGTTGGAATATAGTAAATGGAATAAAAGCTGTTTTGCCTTTCTTGAAGGATTTTGGCAGATTCGAAATAGAATATAAATGCGCACAAAGTGTTTTTTACCATAATGTCATACAACAGCATCTAAATCCAGCTCAGCTGCGTATGAGGTTTTTTAAGACTGACTAATCTTAATGAAATGCTCGATATGGTTCAGATAACAGAAAAGTGAGAAGAGGTGGTTGAAAGAGGATGACTTGAACCGCGGTGACACTCGCAAGCAACGAGGTTAATCCAAACAATTGCGGATTACGGCAATTTCGCGCATCTCCGCATGAGCGAGGAATATTTATCCAGCAGAAAGATTTATCTGTTCTACAGTTTTCTGCATTCCGCTATCATTTGCAATAAACAGTTTCGAAATCATTCCATATAATGACAGTGCATAGATTGACAGCTAAATACCAAACCCTCAAACTTATCGCTTCCAGAGGAGCAGATAATTGAGCACAGTAGGCTCACATTCACTCCATATTGTGAGGATCAGTGAGATCGTTAGCTAGAAATTTTGCACTTCAACTCTATTTGGAGGCTTATCATATATTTGTGTTACTGCACTCTTGAATTTCTAAACGTTATCGCAAAAAATCTTGAATTTTTTGATGAGATATGTATCGGAATATTGCTGTGTCATGTACAGTACTAAAATGTATGTCTTGTACTAGGCGATTTTACCGAGCTTGGGAAATTGGGAAGGCTTTGCTAGAAAAACTGAAAAGACAATGTCATCACAACCAAAAGTGGAGCTTGTTGTACATATTCTAGATTGTTTTGCTTTAATAAGTTTTTTAATCACAAAAAAATTCTAGATTGCAAGTTGACTCATAAGATCTTGTTGTGTGAAACATGGAAAAGCCAGCTGTTTGGTCTTGACATCTTCAGCATTATAACAATGTAAATAACCTCGCAAACATTAGAGCAAAGCAAAACTTTTTCAAGTCTTTATCGAAACGAAATAAAGTATGCAATGCAGCATCATCATATTCATGAGTCAAAAGCTCAGTTCTGATAGCTTATCCCCTCTCTAATGTTCTACAGTCTCCCTATGGCGTCATACTATGGAATAATAGACCGAATATTCTTTTTGTTGGTACCCTAATCTTAGAATGAAAAAAAAGTCTTTTGAGGCGAAATCATTTCAAACATCGTAAAAAAATTTTTGATTAAGGATACTGAGTTTTAGCACTTACAACAGTTTACTCTCACATGACAACCTAATTTGAGCGTTTCAATATCGAACAAGATAAAGAAATTATAAGAACTTTTCCATCATAATCGTCTCTAGTTTAGGCTTATGCTAATCTCCTTGTACAGCAGAACGTTGTAAAGAATGTCTATTTATCAGTGTAACGGGCTCATCGCTGAATCTCTATGCAGAATTTACTATATTTATTTATTTATTTATAATACACGAAAGTGTGCCAAAAATGGAAACCAAAAAGAATACAAAACACAGAACACACAACACTCGGGCTTGGAGCACATTGCCCCCTGCTGGTTTATCAAGTCCTCCATCTCCAAGAAGTGAGTGAACCTCCACCGAGATCCTTTTCCCTTACCCGAACGCATGGAGATGTAATAAATTACCAGGGCCTGGCTGACCAACTTAACCCCAAGGCGGACGAATCCGTCAGGAACCCTGGGCGAGCGAGAAGGGGGACCTCAAGGCAGAGGGCTCACTAGTCTTCAATCTCCTTAAACGGCTACCCGAGCAAAGAGAACTTTCTAAAGTTCCTGAAAAGATTGATATACTGTAAAAGGCTTCTTGACATGTGAAAATCAATCAAAAACATCAAATTTTTCATTATATTGAAGCAATGTAAGCCACAAATTCACTACCACTCAAGACAATCGAAGCAATTTCGTAGTGAGTTAACAATGGCGCGATAGGATGGCATCACCATGAATGAAACACATTTCCGTGCGTGAAGACGGTCATGTCCATTTTCTAAGCAGTCATGAATGCAGACGGTCAAGGAACAGCCCCTACCAATCAAGAAAGTGCAGCAACAACGAAAACACCGAAGGCAACAAAGACAAGGTAAGGCCTAAGGCATACCTTAAGTGATTTCCTTTGGTGCGCGATCTGGCACTACAACGACTCTTCATAACTGGTCGTAAACGCAATTTGCTGGGGTCAGGCTTGCTACATTTGTTACAATTTAAGGAATCTAAGCGCCCCATGCATCCAAAAGAGGCGCTTGCTTAATCTGCAGACATCTAGCGACTCGACAAATCGCGAGGATGTGCGATTTCGCAAAATCGCGAGAGGTATGTCTTAGGCCTAATAGAAGCCTGATGCGTAGGTTTTCCGCCTTTGGTCACTTTTTTGCACTGTGCTAATGAATAAGGGCGATAGCATGTGAGCAATCTTAGGGAGATTTCCGAGAACTTAAAAAACCTTCTCTACGATCTTTTTCCATTGTTCAGATAGAGTAGATAAGTGAATTTGCATTTGAGCGAAATTACTAAGTAGCTGTTCCTAATACAGATTTTTCGGACTTTCCTGAAGTTCGTCATGTGGGTGGGAGGCTATGTGATATATAAAAAATTTTGTTATTCGTGAAGGTGATAGCATTGCGTAGGAGTAATGTACACCTCAAGGTCATGCTCTTGCTCACTAGCATATTTAGTGCATTTGCGAAGACAGTATGTTTCCATATGGATACTAGGTGGAGGCCTCGATTCCGCAATTTTTTTGGAGCGCTCGGAATAAAAATCTCATATCTGCAAATTTTAGCGTCTTGTTTGACAAATGTATGCTTTACCGACCAGACAACACCACTGTTACCGTAGTGTACGATTAAGATTCCAATTGGCACATTGTGTGACTCTGTCAGAAAGATTCCTTCAGGGAAATAAGCATAATTTCCCCAACAGATCTGCTGTGCCTATGCGCTAAAGCCTTCCTTTTAAGACTCGCTGACGAGTTCAGTACGAGTGTTGTTCAAACCAAACTCCCAAAACTTGAAAGAAATCAGATCTGTCAGTAAAAACAGATTTTCGTCACGTCGCTTTCATTCAGACCTTGTTTGTTTGAAAGAAACTTAGTGTTACTGTAAAATTGCCTAAAATTGGTAGATCGACCATTAATACTCCCTTAAAACGATGCTTTACATTTGCTTAAAAACCTTTAGAATATTATTTTCAAACTTATATTACCTATTTACCCAGGTTAGCGTCAGTGTCACTTATTCGTGTTAGTCGTATAACCAGCGTTACCTCCGGTGTTAACAGTCTTACCCTAGTACCAGTGTTACTATTATCATTGGGTCTGCTAATTTCACTGGGATTACTGCTTCTACTCCTGTTGAATGATAAATTGACGACAGACGTAATCTCACTTCCTGGCCTTTACTTTTTTCAACATCTGGATCGTTGTGCATCTACAGCCTGCCTGTCTTCGATCCACACAAAGGTGTTGTACCCTTTCTAAATTCCTTTCAACTCAATAAAGCAGCAATTTTGTATGTGTTAGGAAAGATCCCAGCCACTTTAAGAAAATTTAGCACTTCTTACGCAGAACTAATCACTGAAAAATATTTGATCAAGATTACGAGGAACACGGTCAAGGTCAATAAGCAAATAGCGAGTAAACAAACTCTTCCACCAAAACTCGAATGCGCCCATATCACCGTTGAATAGCATGTTACAGGAGATTGGCCGCCGGTTTCGATTATGGTTGTGGAGAAGACACAATTTTCTCTATATCCGGCATTCCATTCACCTCGAATGTACGTATTTCTGTCACATAGCCCAAGAATATGTCTCATCTCTTATCTGATTCAGATTATCGTCTTCATAGCGTGCTGTTGGGCAGTGATTTTTGGAACTGGGTGTTTGATTCGTGTCATCTTCGCATATCATTGGAACGGTTATGTCCATGGAGTAGTCACTTTCTTTGGGGTAGCTCAACCTTCTCAAGTAGATCTAGTTGGGGGTTCAAGACAGTTACTTCTTCAGTTTGTTGCCGTTATTCTCACTATTCTTGGTTACTGTCTGGACTCTAGATATTCAGGACACTGCATGTTAGCTGCTTTTATAGCATGGGTAAGCCATTTTTGACCATTTCTAATAGAAAGCTGAGGGGTGTCCACTTAAAGGCAGTGGATCGGCAGAATGAGACTGGAATGGCAAAACAAGGTCACAGGGTAGGAGCCCCATAATGGAACCTATGGACCAAAGTTCGATCTATCTCTGCCATTTCTAACTCCCTAAATTACAAAGCGAAAGCAGCGCTCATCCCCTTTTCTCTCCGAAGCCGCCCACCCCATGGACGAGTGACTTCCGCGATCAGAGCGCCAGCCGCAATGCTATAAGCATGAGGTCCCGCAACGACTCTGCGTCTTCGCCATGAGGGCTTCGCGTTCACTCGTCCATGCGGTGGGTGGGTTCGGAGAGGACAGGAGATGAGCGCTGCTTTCGCTTTGAAATTTCGGGGGTTAGAAGTGGCAGACAAAGATCGAACTTTGGCCTATAGATTCCGTTATGGGGGCTCCTACCCTGTGACCTTGTTTTGCCACGGGTCTCATTCTGCCGACCTACTGCCTTTATGTCTGAATGCTTAGACCAAACCGAAAACTGATTAGGAAATTTCAAAAAGTCTCCAAACGGCAGCCAATATGAACATTTTGTGGTGAAAACTGACCTCTACTTTGACCCTTCCAAAGGGTCCAAACAGCCCCAGAAATATGATGTGGGTCGGAACTCAAAGTCAAATTGCTCGGTCACAATTGGGTAAAAAGCTGCCGCTTGGGGAATGGTTTGGAGAGCTTTTAAGTTTACACATAGGAAATCCAGGTAACCAACTCGTCCAGACAATACCTCAGATTTCCTTTTTAGGGCTGCGCATTTCTCTCTGCCCTCGGATTGGTAGTCCTATCTGGTTTTGTGTATGCAAACTTCAGGGGTAAGCCCTCCAGCAAATTTTCCTTACTAAAAGGCAGCTTTGCAGAAAACAGAGCAGTCGAAGGCTTTCGCAGTTTCTTTCTTTATGGTATACTATGGATTTTTTTCACCGACTTACTATGTCTGGTCACAATGGGCCTAGATGGGCTTGCTGCATTTGCAGGATTCAAGATGTGGAGAAACAAAGTCTGAATTTTGTGATAAATGATAACGTTCACTTAAGTGGTATACTTCCTTATCTTGCCCTAGATTCGGTATTATTCAGCTCAAAATCAGTTAGAGAATTTGACAATTATGCTCTAGTAGGATAATAAAAAGGATTGTGTTTAACAATAGGGTAACAATGTGGTTCAATATCAGATGGGAAGTTTGATACCATTTGGATCTTCAAAGCGTTTTATTTCCAACTTCTCTGTGACCCTAAACTTGCCGAAGTACACTTATCGCGCAATTTCAAAATGAAGGCTAGGCACAAAATTTTTTACATACTCATTTCCCAGACGTTGTAGTTGTCCCAGGTACAATTGCGATAAGAAACTCCTTGGGTAGGACAATCAGTCAAATTCTAAAAGCATAATGAATTATATAAAACTTCCGATTCACGAAACAACCTTACAATTTCAAACATAGTCGCCTAAACCGCGAGCAGCTTCACGCGAATTCAGTCGCGGCGCAATTTGGCAAAATCTCTTGTTCATAATTCATGTGGGCGCATTTCAAATATAAACAAGAGAGCGAACTTTATCAATTCATGAATTTCATACACAATGCACATTTGTAGTCTACTAGTGTTGAAATCAACGACATCTGGCAAAATGCCGGCTCGCGTGGAAATCGCGTTAAGTATGCCCTGGGCCTGTCAAAAAGATTTTGGTATCTGGATGGTCTACTAATTCGGCTTGCATCGTTGATTATTCTGCAATTCAAACTCCTGTTTGAGTCAAATCAAGGTCTAAACATCCCAGAGCGTCTTCCGCTTCCTCCACTCGATTCAAGGCAATTACATATAATATGCAATCTCAATGCAATCCGAGGGAGAAAGAGTATCAATTAGCACACTCACAGAAACGGAAAAGATTGTTGAGATACCTCCAATATTTAGGACAGGACAGTCTCAGCTACCTCGCTTGCTTTGGGAAAGAAAAGCTTTCGTCAAATGTAGCTGCAATGATAAGACGATCACATCCATTCGCTTTCTCTACTTGGTGCTCAGTGAGCGAACTCTCACTTTACTTGTCTGTCAAATACTGTGGATAAATCTCGAGAAAAGCTTCAGCTTGTCAAATAAATTGAATTTATTCGTGATGGTAAACAACTTAGAGCTGGAGGAAGAAAAACGTTGTTGCGGAACAACCCATTGTCCGCTCATCGCACCACACAGTCTATGTCAATGGGGCATCTTCTATGACTGCGTATCCGCGTTTAAGGCCCCTTGGGCCAGGTTTGCATGTATAAGGCTGGCATTTTGCGAAGCCTTGGACAACAAATTGGGTCTAAAAAATTATGTAAAAAGACGAATACCCCCATTGCGTGTGCCTACATGGCCTGCTGGTCCTAACATGATATGCACTGCATGTGCGAAAGACCAGTGGTCTGCCGAGGCGGCACGATTAAAGTGTTCTTTCAATCCTTAAAGGCACCGTCCACCCGACTCTCAACTTCCATGTTTTGATCGGGGCCTTCTCATGCCCCGGTTCCGAATGTGAAGTCAAGAATCCGCGAAAACCTCGACAATTCCGATTTCGGAGAACCCGCAGGCCATCTTTCGGAACGATGATTGGGATGGGCGCGCACGAAAGGGCGGGCATTACTGGGGGGGGGGGGGGATGGGGGATAGTTGCCGACCTGGGCTCCTCATGCATCTTCGCTATTGCGGAGAGAGTTATCTTGTATTCGAAGCGACATTTTGCGCCGCAGCTTGGGCATTGGCTCGATAGGGGGTCTTCTATCATAAGCTGCCAAAAGCTCGAAACCTAACTCAAAGGCAGCAGCACGCCAAAACCAAACATCCCGAATTTTGACATAGAAGGTTGCTTGCACCTCAAACATGGAAACAGAGCAGGTCTGAGCGCACAGCATGCTACCCTTGTCTAGAAAACTGCCGCTAAACCTGTTATGCGCAAGCCATTCTAATACGCGCGGGCGAGCTTGCGATTTTCCCTGACCCGTCAGAGAAGACATGCCGCAATGTTATAAGTGCGAAGGTTCTGCAACGATTCTGCCTCTCTAACCATGGCAGGACGTGCTCCACTCGTCCAAATTCAAAACGGGAGGCATTCTCTGACGGGAAATGGTGGTTTTTGCCACTTTCGCGCTCTTCAAGGTGGATTTTCGGAATCAGCGCCTCGAATTACTATAGGTAAGCGAAAAAAAAACTTTGAGTCGAGAATCTGCCGAGCCGCTGCCTTTGAAGTGGACGGTGCCCTTGAAAATTCTTTCTCAATGAATGACTCTTGTTTACCCTCTTGTCTCGCCTATTGAAGCGCACTAATGAAAGTTGTTGATTTACAGAGCAGCAATGCTGCTAAATTTGTTAAGTCAAGAAGTGACTAACAAGGGGTTGATTTGGAAGTGGCGGTCAAGAAAGTGACGTACACAACGGACAGCGCTTGAAACGCTAAATTCAGATACACTTTCTTTATCTGCGAAACGTCCTTCTAAAAAAAGTTATGGGTTCTTATGCCAAATTTGCGTGCATTTTGAGCTGCAAAACTACGATAAGTTTTATAAAGGAGTATGCGAACACCTGGGCCAGTAATTTGGTCGAAACTCCGAGTTCAAAGCGCGCGTAACTCAGAGTTAACTCTGAGTTTCGTTTTAAAGCTCGGAGTTAACTCTGAGTTAACTCTAAGGCCCGTATGCACGTACATCCCCGCGGGGAGGGGAGGGGATCTGAGAGGGGAAGCGTCATATCTCGCTAGTTTATGCATCTTTCTTCTTCTTTCTCTGTCTTGTTTTTGAAGGTTCCCATACACTGATACCTGCTCATAACGGATGCCAGATTACTGCCATACAAGATTAGATATTCACTATCTCGTCTGATCCCCTGGAGATCCCCAGGGGATCACCTCACATTTTCAAAGTCATTTATCTCCCTGAAAACTCAATAAAACCCCTGCAAAATTGTACTGAAGATATACTACGATACTGCTGAGCATGTTTTCGACAGAAGAGATGGATTATGAAGATCTTGATTTTTTTCGATAATCCCTGGTTCGCGAGCAGCGCTTCATCGAAAATTTTGATATCTTGACATTTCACTCATTTCTACCATAAACATGTTTAGCACCGCTGTAGTATATCCCCAGTACAATTTTACAGCATTTTCAGTGGATTTTCAGGAAGATAAATGACTTTGAAAATGTGCAGTGATCCCCTGGGGATCCCCAGGGGATCAGACGAAATAGTGAATATCTAATCTTGTATGGCAGTAACCTGGCATCCGTTATGCGCAGGTATCAGTGTATGAGAACCTTCAAAAGCAAGACAGAGAAAGAAGAAGAAAGATATATAAACTAGCGAGATATGACGCTTCCCCTCTCAGATCCCCTCCCCTCCCCGCGGGGATGTACGTGCATACGGGCCTAAGTTTGAGTTGCGCGTTTCGACAGGTTCACTATCGACCCTGATAACCATCGCAGTCTAATATTAGGTGGGTCCGAAAGTTCGTGCCGATTTTTAAAACTGTTCTAAAATCGTTCAAAATGAAGGTAGACAAGTCTTTCAAACAATACCTGATGCAGAACTTCTTCCTCTTTCAGCAGCTCTATTTCCGTTGTGATTGTTTTGAAGAGCGCTGAGGTAACTGCCAAAAACTAACCCCTTCATTTTTACCATGTCTGACTTTCACTAATTTTCAGGAGTGGTAGTAATTTGCTCGAAACCATCGAATGATGTGATGGTTCAGTTAAGGTTACATCGTGGTAAACATAATCATCTTCTTACGGCCACTCATTTCAATCGGTCATACAAATTCATGAAACAAGCAAGTATACAGCATGCTACCATGATTGTTCCATTATCGTTTCATTCTAAACCATACTACAAAGTTTCGCGCAGGTCAACTTCATTGTTTTGTTATCAGACAGAGTAATGAAAATAGCAGATCATTTCATGAGACGCAGACATGAAACCATCATATCATCGTTTAAAATGAAAAAGTACCCTGAACACTTTTTCATTTGAAACCAAAATGTGGTGGTTTCACAAATCGAGAGGAGTGAGGGAGATCAATCTGAAAGTTACCACGAGAAGGCTCTTTTGTTTACAGCTTAGATATAAGTTGAGAACAGGGCCCAGCAGAAGGTGGCATCTGACAAGGGAAGTTTACTTATTCGAAGTGGCGATTCGGAAGGAGATCTATACCAGTGGATAGAGCTCAAAAAGCTGATCAGATATACCTTCTATATCTGCGACGCATCGTTCTGAAAAAAGTTTTGAGCTTTTCTAAAGCCAAATTTTCGTGCATTTTGAGTCGCAAAATCATGATAATCGCTACACAAAAGTGTGCAAGGCTTAAGCAAACCACCTAATAAGCATTTTAAGTCTATTTCGATTTCATCCGAACGCTTTCGAGTTTTTTCGACCATGTTGCTAATCCACAGCTCGTCATTTAATTCCTAGATCACACTTCCATTATGTATACAAGAAGCCCCATAACCTCCATTTAGAAAAACTCGTTGCGTCGGAAACTTTTTGAAAGGTACCAATGGATAGAATGTAAAACGACGTTCTCAAATATATCTTCAACATCTGCGATGCGTTCTTCTAGGTTATGGGCTTTTTTTGTCTATATAATGGGTGATATAGGTAGGAAGTGACGGTCTGTGAGCAAACAACATGGTCGGAAAACACTCGAACACGTTCGGATGAACTCGAATTAGACCTACAATGCTTACTAGGTGGTTGGCTTAAGCTTGCACTTTTTTGTGTAGCGACTATCATGATTTTGTGACTCAAAATGCACGAAAATTTGGCTTTAGAAAAGCTCATAACTTTTTTAGAACAACGCATCGCAGATATAGAAGGTATATCTGAGATCAGCTTTTTAAGCTCTATCTACTGGTATAGATCTCACCCGGGTTGCGCGGGAGCAACCTAAATTAGAAAAACACTTACAGCTCCTTTCATTCACACAAACTCTTCATAATTATTCATACTTTCCTTTTGATCGTCGCCGCGAAAGTACACACCAAATTTGGTGGCTCAATATTGCCTATAGGTTGTAAACGGACTGATTTTTTTTATTGTTTTAAGCATAAAGATTGTGCTTTAACAAGTTGAAATCGTGTGCACACGGGTCTAATGTAAGTGCTCGCCATGTTAGGAAGTGTTAATCTACCTGTTACTGATGAAATGACGTCGGAGTTGGAAAAGGGATTACTCAGGGTTACCTTTGTGATTCCTAAATTGTATCAGATTTCTGGGAACCACCCCTGGGAACATTACAAATTCCCTTTTGCTTTTCTTTGAAGAAAACGACATCCAACCTGTGAAAGCGCCACCTCTGCTGAGCCCTGATTGAGAAAGCAAAGATAAAGACCGAACTGCAAATTTGGTACAGTGCAATGAAAGCGGTCGAACTTGAGATTGAATGGAAGTTCAATCCCCTTCAATGGCATCGCTTTGCTGAATCTGAAATTAGGCGAAAACTTGCCCAATTTTAGATTTAGCATTATTTCCAATCAGTTAACTCGTGGTTTCAATGAAAAGGTGATGTAAAGCTGCTGGTTATCTCGTGCTAGGAAAATTTAGTCAAGTAATGGTTTCGACCAAATTACTACCGCTCCAGAATCTTCATTTTAGACTTTTGAAGGCGCTCAATAACCACCTAGTAATGCAAACTTTTTCATAAAGAACTTTTTGCATCTTTCTGGCATGCTTTCTAGAATCACTAACAAGGGAAGGATACTCGGTCGAAGTGGCCATTTGGAATGAGCTGTATATTAGGAAACCGTCCTCCGTAAGGCAAACTCAAAATTACTTTCGCTAGGTGCCGAGCGGTTTTGTGGGGGGAGTTACAAGGCCATTTTCCTCCGGCGCAGCCAGCGCACCCAGTGATGAGCGAGGCGCTAGATTAACGCATCAGTGTGGCAGTGGCGCAGTGGCAACGCAGCGGACTACGAAGCAGATGGTCAAGGATTCGAGTCCTGTTGCTGCCGTTTTGTTTTGCAGTTCTGTAAAAAGTCTATTGGGTGACAGCAAACGAGAAATACTGTTTCTAGGCAGTCGAAACAAGCTATTTACTGTAAAAAAGTCACAATTTCTACAATAAGCTATAATCTTCTACAATATGTCAATCTGTGGAGGTTAAGATGTCACAACAATGGATTCAAATGATATACTAACATGTATGGAATACAACCACAAAATGCTCAAAGCAGAAGAGCTTCTCGCAGCGCGCACATCGTATAAAATATAAACGATGACAATCAGCAGCTTCACAATTGCCTATCAAAGTCGGTGAAAAACAGTACTGAATAGGAGACTCGAATTCGCCGGGGTGGTTATCAATGTATCCGACTGCATGCCATGGGTATGAAAGGAAATTTTTGAATCGCGGCGAGCAAAACTGTGTGTAAATGAGCGACAGAATCTTAAGAATGGAATCCCTATGATGCAAGGTAGTGACTTTTTTGCAGTAAATAGCTTGTTTCGACTGCCTAGAAATAGTATTTCTCGTTTGCTGTCACCCAATAGACTTTTTACAGAACTGCAAAACAAAACAGCAGCAACAGGACTCGAACCCTTAACCATCTGCTTCGTAGTCCGCTGCGTTGCCACTGCGCCACTGCCACACTGACGCGTTAATCTAGCGCCTCGCTCATCACTGGGTGCGCTGGCTGCGCCGGAGGAAAATGGCCTTGTAACTCCCCCCACAAAACCGCTCGGCACCTAGCGAAAGTAGTTTTGAGTTTGCCTTACGGAGGGCGGTTTTCTAATATACAGCTCATTCCAAATGGCCACTTCGACCGAGTATCCTTCCCTTGTAAGATTTATTTTCTGAAGTGACCAAATTTTATATTTGGCTCATTCTAACCTCGCACATCAGACGCTGAACAGTCTAGATATCATTCAATGCATCTTTTTCTTCTCTTTCTAAAAGCTATACTCGCCGTCAATCCCTAAGTTACATTTGGAATGTGGAGTGGTGTGGTGCGGCCGCATCGCTTTGGGCTTGCGCCACGTTGCGAGCGTATCGCTTAAACGTGATGTGGCCGAAAGCGATGCGGCCGCACCACACCACTCCACATTGCAAATGTAACTTAGGGATTGACGGCGAGGGTACGTTTCCTTTGCGAAATATGCGACTTTTGCAGATGAAATCGCTGTAGCTCCCAATTTTACAGGTCCAGTCAATTTTACAGTTTAGACTACAGGTTTGTAGTCTAAACTTTAAAATCACTCCGTTGATATCTCTCAGATATGTCTGCACTAAGTTTCCTTTCAAGTCGCTCTTGATTTGTCAGTTTCTGACGAATTCATTCGTTGACATTAACAACTGCAACAAAAGAGGGAAATGTCTTTCAGAGTAAATATTTCTGCAGCCCATTGGCTAAGAAGGTTAAAAAAGGACTCTGCTTCTTGGATTGGAGTACTTGTTATGGTGCTTGCATGAATCGTATATTCACTTATAGTTGATCACGGGGGTTCTTCTTTAACCTTCTTCCTTGTGGATTCCGACTTGGATGGCTTTTTTGGTGTTGAAGTCTTACAATTAGAGGGGCCTGGTTTGTCGCTCTCCTGCTCTTTCTTTTCGTCGTCTGTCGTTGATGATTCGAAGCTAGATGACACCATCTGTCGCTTAGTTGTCTTTGTCGAAGCAACTGTGGATGGCTCAGGCGTGGCTTTCAGGGTCGAGTCGGACGTGGTCCTGACGTAATTTGTATTAGTATGTTCATCTCTCTAGTAGTCTCGCTAACCTTAGCGGTTTCATCCTTGTCAGATCTTTTATCGCCTCTTCCATCGCCTGGAGTCGAGCGGCCAAGGGGGGATTTCCGCCACCAGCTCTTGCACCCGTACGGAGCGGCTCCGCAGTATTGAGTAGTTCTTGGATCTTCTCACGATCAATCATGATAAGCGTCCGCTGCAATGCTCGTCATTAGTCTCACGATTATTCTGATCCTCATATGCTCACCTCGGGGCCGTAGCATTCATAAAATGAACCAAATCGGCTCTATGCGTTAGTGTGTTCGTCTTACGTGGGAACATTGTCATACTACCCAGGTCTGAAATGATTTTAAATTACTATTTTCGCGCTTCGTTTGATGATCGCTATTCATAAGCGCAGCGCTTTGTGGTTGGTGTTATGTAGGGTGAAATACCCTCTAATATTCATTCATACACGTCAGAGTTAAATTCTTTATTACCAATATGCTTAGACAAACACAATCTTACTACTTCGTTCTCCCTGCTATTTTTCTTCTTTTGCCTTTGACATTCTCTCCTTTGGTGGTCATTTAGTCGTTGATGTTGTTCCGCTTTGCTGTGATGTAGAGGTTTACACTTTCGTAGTTTAGGACCAGTTCTTACCTGCTACCGCTATCACTATCCTAACTTTATTGTCATCATATGTGACTCAAGTTCATCAGTAGCTGGTAATGCCTTGATTTCGAGGTTTCTGTTGCTGTTAGCGGTAGTTTCTTCTTATCTGGGTCTATTTCCAGCTTGTATTGTTTCGACGCGACAAATGCGAGTAGACGTCTTTAATTTTCTTTATTGGAGCAAGACCACTACTCATCTCAAGCGGTTCTGGGATCAACAATGTCCATTTAGTACATGCTTTCGTCTGACGTCATATTATTTTACTGTACCTGCATTTCTATGCAGCCTAGCGGCCTTTCCTGTACTCGATTCTTGGTTGTTTGGGGTTTGCCTAGTTGGTGGGGTGGCTACAATCAATGTCTTTGAATTTGCAATAGTAGTGTTGCTATACAACTCTTGCTATGCTTGCGTAAGCTACTGGACTCCATCTTCATAAGGTGATTACTGCGTAGACCATCAAGGTTATATCCCCCGGTCCGTTCGTCATTCGCGCGATGTTCTTGATTCTGAAGCTTGGACAGTTGTAGCCAGTGGCTAAATACTCTACAGACAGGCTGAGCTCTTACTGACCCCTTAGTTTGCTCATCGTTTTGTAGCTAGGTCGCCATACCCAACTTGGCAGTCTCATACACCATAACCGGTGTAGCGCGCTGTTTTTGTTCAATTTAGGATCTAATACGATCAGCTAGAAACGCCGCTTCTTGGCCGAGAGCTGCATCACCGCTTCCTGTGTTGTTTATCCTGAAGTGAGGTCACGTTTTGACAGAGAGTAGTCAGTCTTGGCCTCATCACTAGGCCGGCTTGTGCCCTTAGCTACGGGGCGTTTATCGAGGTGTGAGGGAGTACCTCGCACATGAGCGGATCTAAGTTATGTCGATGCTGGGTGGTTTTCTTCATTTTACTCACTTTTGCACAACTTCTGCACTTACACCTCATTTTGTGATTAGTTCTTCCCGTATTTTATCCCTTAATGTCGTTTGCTGTTATTCTGTTTCAATGCAGTCTTGAGGCTCTTACTTTGCAGTTTTCTAACAAGATCGTTATCTGTTGCTGGTTTTGCTATGCCTATCTTTATTATTATCATGTGTTGCTTAGCGTCATAAATTATTGATTGTACGAGTATTCTGGGGTTTATGGTGCAATTGAGCGACAACTTCATATCTAGAGCTATTTTCAGCTTGTAGTGTTTCAAAACGGCGGGTGTAGGCAAGCATGTATATTTTCCTTTATTGAGACACGTCATCTGCAGCCAGTCCCCGTCTTGTTTTTATGCCGTCCTGCGGTCTGCACTGAGGGATTACATGAGTGAGTTCCTTGGCATTTCTTGCTAGGGGGCAGCGCAATTGCTTTTCGGTGCCATCTGGCTGTATTTCGACTCTCTAGCTGCGAGAGGGTAGAACAGGCAGACATCTATATTGTTCACCAAATTTGATCTAACAGTTTTCTGAATTGGAAGATGATATGTTCGCAAGGTGTCCATAACGCGTTAGCAACAGCGATCTTTGGGAGTTGTCATTTGTTGCTAATTCCTCTTGGCAAGAATTAATTTTAAGACAGCAGATGTGTTGATGCCGAAGCCTCCATCTTAGGTTGGAGCTCACTTTTTCTGTAGCAGGGTTTCATCTTCTCTTGCCAAACTGTATATAGCTGCACCCACTATGAGTTTATTGGTCCACAGATGTCTGTGATGGGTGAGATTGGTAGGGGTCGGTCTATGGTCTGTGATGAGGATTCCACAGTTTCGTTTATTTCCTTTCCTTAGATTGAAATCCTTAGATCCTTTCTCTCTAATTAGCAACAAATGACAACAGTGTAGGACAGTCTAGGGTCGTCATTGCCGTTTATCATTTTGAGGGAATCCTTCTCTGAAGTTTTGTTCGAACACTCAGTTATATTGCTCACAATTCCTCTTGGTGTAGTACTGTTCGTCTACTGCAAGGTAGAGTCTGCTTTCACAATTTTGTTCGATGTTTGCTTTTTCAGGCTTTCTACAAGTCGCACGTTTTCGGAAGTGAATGTTTTACGTGCTTGGTTATACCTGGCACGCGCCCGCGTCCATAGCACGGATTTCACCAATCAGCTTCTGTTGGGAGGAGTTTTCGGTGGCATGCTTCAGCGAATACTCCCAAGGTTTTTGCTAGCATTCAAGACATCACGTAACTCTCCACTTTTCCGTTAATGCTTGATGTTAGTTCTGTACAATATCTCTCGCAAGAATTCTGTACCTGAAGCACAAATTCTATGTTACTGTTTCTCGAATGTGTTTTCCTTTGTAGTGAGATCAATACTTTTGTAAATGCCCAATTACCACATTGTGCGTTCTCGTTTGAGCAAGACTTATAGCACCACTATTTCCATAAAATGAATTTTTGCATGATCCACCTTTTCATCTTGAGTATGTATTTTCTTTCAATGAAAAGGAGGCGGAAGGAAGGCCTTTTTGGACAAAAAGGAAGATTTTGGCAAAATTTCTTTCTTGTGACGTATTGTATCAGCTAAGAGTAAAAAGTATAACGCTCATAATCTTGGTGTAGTAAACGGTGTAGTATCTTGGTGTAGTATCCCCACCTTCGGGGGGATGAAGCAGACCAACAAAGGAAGATCACATGAAAACACTAGTAGATATTCTTGAGACACAAACAATATGACAGCTAGCTACGACATGGAAGCTTTCCCAGTCTGCTGAAACTGAAAACAAAGATGAGCAATGTAACCTAACATTACACGAGCAGTCATGTAAAGAAAGACACACTGCAACAAAAATAAATTACGAAAAAGCAAGATTCAAAAGGTTAAGGCGCGCAGGATGATGAAATCGCATGCTCACTATTAAATCTGAGGTATTCATAATTTCGTGCGCCTTCGCGTACTTTTGCGGACACGGCCGGAAGCCAGCCGGTAGTAGTTTCTAGCGTGCTCCTCGGCCGGTTTTAGGCTCCGCCCCAAAACATGGCGCGGCCCTCGGCCGGAAGGCCTTCGTCGCCCGGTCACCAGCCGGAAAAAGTATCTATACAACAGAAGCTAATTGTGCAATTGCACAAAACACAGCATGGCAGGCCAGACAACGGCTTAATACCTGGCCAGGACACGGCTTAATCAAATGAATAGCAACGAACCTAAAAAGGACAAGAATAAAAGAGAAGCAATTCAAAATGATAGAATGGCTAGATGCAAATTAACCTGGGATAGCTGAATGTCACACTTAATGATGTCCTAGACGATGGGCTTGAGCAGGAACCAAGCATAGAGACAGCCGAGCGGATGATGTCAGACCTAGAAAGAACAGTGCGAAAATGAGAAATAACTCAAAGCAATAAAGTGAAAAATTGCAGACCTATCAATGTCGCAAAACCAAATAATGAGATGAAGAGAAGCGATTAAACGTACAGAATGAACAACAATCTCAATAAGAAGTCCAAGGTGGCAGCACACTCCTAGCTACCAAAGATACATAGTCAGCAGAATATAACAGAGGCTGAATGTGCAATTGCACAGAACACAGCATGGCAGGTCTCAGACACGCGCACCGGCCGGTGACCGCGCCAACTTTAGAGGCGGGGCTAAAGACCGGCCGGCGAGCGGACGAAGTGATCGTGAAGGCCGGCGGCCGTTCCAGTGGGCAAAAAAGCGCGAGGGATTGCGCATACAGAAAGGAAATAATCTCAAACATCGCGTGATTGAGTCCGCCAAGCGCCAGGCTCGCCTTAGCTAATTCTCCCTTATTATCGTTGTTGTCATTTCCTCTGTCATTGTTGCGTTTTTCCACTCTTGTGTTCCGTGTTTACGTAGTTATGTCTCGCCTTGAAAGATTATGTTTATGCTTTGGAGTCACTTATTGTTAGAAGTTGGGGGTATGAGTATGTAAATTGATGTAGTCATCATGGCGGCGCCGCGTTATGGAGCAAAGCTACACCCAGGGTTGAGCAAGAGGTCAGGCACAAGTCTTCCCAAAACGACCCACCCCCCCCCCCAGTGAAAGCCCCTAAACGACCCCTCTGCTTCACCTCCAGGACCTCAGGCTGTGATAATTCGAAGAGATCAGCCGTTTTTGTGAGGTTCTTGTTTTTTGGAGGTCTGTAGGTCGACTTTCTGCGATTGCACAGCACACGCAACTTGACGGCAAGTTTTGGATTTTGGATAGCCCTACTTTTAGAGCTATAATTCCCACAGGGGTGTATTGTTTGGCTCCAAATTTGCAGTATTGCAAGAAGAGGCTTTGAGTTCAATACTCATAGCAGAAATGGAGCGATTTTTAGATTTTGAAAACAAGTTAATCGGGTCAGGCGCTACCCCTCAAAAGCTCAGGCGGCCTGACCTTTTGTGGGGTTGCGCCTGACCCGATTAACTTTATCATTGAAGAAGCTTTTTTATTCAAGTTTTATGTGAATCGCTAGCACAACCCTCGAAGATCCATAGTAAGTGTTTGGACTTGATTCGACTTGTTTCGGCCTTGTGGTAATCCGTGGAGTTGAAGCAGTCATGGCGAAAAACGCGCCGGTCGGAATTTTGGCATTATTTCTTACTCCACTG